GTACCTGGCTCAATAGCAGTAACTGTGAGAGGGATCTTGGAGTCCTAGTGGACAACCATTTAAATATGAGCCAGCTGTGTGCAGCAGCTGCCAAAAAAGCCAACACAGTTCTAGGCTGCATAAACAGAGGGATAGAATCAAGGTCAAGTGATCTTTGACTTAACTAGGAAATGTGAGGTACCTGGCTCAATAGCAGTAACTGTGAGAGGGATCTTGGAGTCCTAGTGGACAACCATTTAAATATGAGCCAGCTGTGTGCAGCAGCTGCCAAAAAAGCCAACACAGTTCTAGGCTGCATAAACAGAGGGATAGAATCAAGGTCAAGTGATCTTTGACTTAACTAGGAAATGTGAGGTACCTGGCTCAATAGCAGTAACTGTGAGAGGGATCTTGGAGTCCTAGTGGACAACCATTTAAATATGAGCCAGCTGTGTGCAGCAGCTGCCAAAAAAGCCAACACAGTTCTAGGCTGCATAAACAGAGGGATAGAATCAAAACCCTAACCCTAACCACTTTATAACGCCTCTAGAAAGAGTGCAGAGAAGAGCAACAAAGAGGATTAGGGGACTGGAGACTAAAATATATGAAGAACAGTTGCAGGAACTGGGTATGTCTAGTTGAATGAAAAGATGGAGTAGGGGAGACATGACAGCATTCTTCCAATATCTCAGGGGCTGCCCCAAAGAAGAGGGAGTCAAACTATTCTCCAAGGGACCTGAGTATAGAACAAGAAGCAATGGGTGGAAACTAACTAAGGCCACACTTGGAATACGGCATCCAGTTTTGGTCACCATGATACAAAAATAAGATGTTGGGAACCTTAGAAAGAATGCAGAAAAGAACAGCAAAGATATTTAAGGGGCAGGAGGCTAAAACATACAATGAAAGATTGCAGGAGGTGGGTATGTCTAGGCTAACAGAGGAAGCACTTGGGCTGACATGATAGCAGTCTTCCAGTATTTGGGAGACTGTCACAAAGAAGGGGGAGTCAAGCTATTCTCCAAGGCACCTGAGGGCAGAACAAGAAGCAATGGGTGGAAACTCATCAAGGAGAGAAGCAACCTAGAAATAAAGAGAAATTCCCTGACAGTGAGAACAATTAATCAGTGGAACAGAAGTTGCCTCCAGAAGTTGTAGGTGCTCCAACACTGGAGATTTTTTTTTAAAGAAGAGATTTGTCCAGGATGCTCTAAACCTTTTTGGCACCGATCGACCAAACTGGGACACGCATGCATGTGCGTGCGCTTGAGTGCTGGAAACCCCAAAACCAGCCGGCTGGTGCACATATGGGTGCCAGCCAGCTGATCTTCAGGTTTCCGGCACACACCGGCCAGCTGGTCTTTGCGCACACCGGGGCACCAGAAACTGGAAGATTAGCTGGCCGGCGCACGCGTGCCTGTCTTTGTGCCACTCTGGTGCCTGTGAAAACCAGGTGGCCGGCACATGGATGCCAGAAACCCGAAAAGCCTATGGCAACGGTGTGTGCGGGCCCACAGAGAGGGCTGTACGTGCCACCTCTGGCACATGTGCCGTTCGTTCGCCATCACAGCTCTAGGGTCTCTTGCTTGAGCAAGGGGTTGGACTAGAAGACCTCTAAGGTCCCATCCTACTCTGTTATTCCGTTCAAGCCCTTTGGATTTCTTGAAAGCACCAACTGCCACCCCGAGGTGGTTTGGAACCCCCAAGCCAGGAGAAAAACAGAAGTAACCGAAGTCTAACCTTGGCTTGGCGTGACCTACATGCTCGGGGAGAGCTTTAGAGGGTGTGTTTGTCAGATCGGTCATGATGAAACTTGACAGAGCTTCCAGCACGGCAAATGCTCTCCTGTCCCCTGGGCCGGGTCTCCAAGCATCCAGATTCAGACAGCCGTGTGTTACCCCTCCCGGTGAGGGTGCAGGCAGCCTTGGGTGCTGTCAACAAGAGCCCTGTTCCCTAGCAACGGCTGCTTAGGAACCGTTGCTGGTGCCGGGAGAAATTCCCGCCGGGGAAGTCGGGGGCCGGCCAGGTGGAGGTGAGCGAACCTTCCCCTTTGAAGCAGCTGGGAGAGAGCAAAGTCCTTCTCTGGCTCTCCCCCTTTGGCTGCTCCAATCCCTCGCCCGAATCCTGTGGGGTGTGTGTCTCCCGCCTGTCTGTCGGGCTTTCCCACAATGCACCGCACTCTGTGGTTGTCAGGGGCATTGTGGGAAATCAAAAGCTAGAGCCAGGGCTCTCGGGATGCTCAGCTTCTGAAGGAGCCATGGATTCTTGTAGTGGGAGGTATCAACCCCTAAGGAGGGTAGGCAGGGTGTGTAAAACAACCCCTTTCAGACAGGTATGGGACCCTGGCATCGCAGGAATCTTTTCCACCTGGTTATTTTGCTTTACTTTTATTTACAGAACTATATNAGAGACAGGGAGACAAAGAGAGAGAGAGACAGACAGACAGAGACCCAGAGACAGAGATACACACAGAGAGAAAGAGAGAGAAAGAGAGAGAGACAGAGACACAGAGAGAGACAGAGAAAGAGAGAGACAGAGAGAGACAGACAGACAGACAGACAGACAGAGTTCAACAGGTTGTGAGTTTTAGCAGCGACTACAAGAGAATCTTTAAAGAGAGAGAGCGGTTTTCCTGTTTTATAGGGCTGCCAAGTGATGGGCCCTCTTGAAGGCTCTTCTGCTCTTTGATGCTCCAAGGCCAATCTTAAATGAAGGTCCCTTTCTCTCCCTCCCCATCTCCTTCGACAACCACTGGACCCAATTCATGAAGCTCCCCCTGGCCTGGTCACCAGCATTGAAGGCAATAGCAATAGTGCTTAGACTTATCTACCGCTTTGTGGTGCTTTTACAGCCCTCTCTAAGCAGCTTACAGAGTCAGCCTAATCGCCCTCCAACAATCGGGGTCCTCGTTTTACCGACCTCAGAAAGATGAAAAGCTGAGTCAACCTCGAGCCAGGATCAGGCTCGAACTGCTGGCAGTGGGCAGAGCTGGCCTGCAATACCGCATTCTAACCACCGCGCCACCACGACTCAAATTCTGTCGAAGACAAAACTCACTGAATGTCGGGGCCGCTAAGAAGATGAACTTTTCCGCTGCAAAATTGGAACTGGGGTTTTGGCTTGGGAACGTACAAACTCCAAGCGAAGGAGCGACAAAGCAAGGAAACAGCAAGGGGTGGGAGAGCTTTTAATAGGGGACCGGAAAAGGAGAGATTGTCAAGAGGAGACGCACAACGCGCGCGCGCACACACCCACACACACACAAACACACCTGATCCAAAACGCCTGGGGGTTTTAATTTAATTCCCACCCACTTTCCAAAGCAAACATGCTCTGCATGAAGAGTTCCCTCCCTTGCAGCCCCCACGGCAAAAGTCAATTTTGGCGGGGCGTCGTTCCGGCATTTCCTTAACCGGGTTTCTGCCTGGTTAATCAGTAACCCCACATCCCCATCTCCCACTCCTCGGTATGATGATGATCGAGACCATAAATCTAAGGAAGGAGGAAGGAGGGAAGCCGGTTTGGTCGGCGGCAAAACTGTGGAGCGTTGAAGCATTCGCTTCAATATCCCAACTCGCGGCCACTTAGAAAGCCTGGTTAGAGGACCTCAAGGGTGGGGGGAACCGAAGTATTCCCCCCCACATAATGGGAAGAGTTCCTCAAACTCTTTTGTCTGCATCCAGCCTCCCCGTAAGCAAAGGGAAAGATGATGATTGTCGTTTTTCTATGCCTTTGCCCCTGAATGGGAGAAAGAGCATAAAAGCGATCAATGACTAATTATGAAGAAAAAGCCATCGGCGTGAACATTGGCGCTGATCATGAACGGCGTATCGATATCGCAGTTTCTCCAGAGGGCGATGTGCACAAGCTGAAGGGGCCACGCGAGTCATATTGACCAGGATCCAGATTTTAAATCCAGATCGGGGGTCTCCAACCTTGGCAGCTTTAAGCCTGGAGGACTTCAACTCCCAGAATTCCCCAGCCGGAGAGAGACAGGGAGGGAGAGAGAGAAGAGACAGGAAGAGAGAAAAGAGAGAGGGAGGGAGAGAGGAGACAGGGAGAGAAAGAGGAGGGAAGGGATGGAGGGAGGGATGGAGGGAGGGAGGGAGGGGGGACAAGCATGGCTGAGACCGTCCCTGGCTTAGCTTGAATTTGACATGCTGGAAAACTACCCACCCACTCTGTATTTCGGGGGGGGGGGAGAGGAGAGAGTGGGGAGGGAGAGAAAGAGAAGAGAGAGGGAGGAGAGAGGGAGGGAGATAGAAGAGGGGAGGAGAGACAGAGAAAGAGGAGGGAGAGGGAGAGAGGAAGGGGGAGAGGGAGCGACAGAGAAAGAGGAGAGAAAAGGAGGGAGAGAGGGAGGGAGAGAGGAGGGGGAGAAAGAGAGAGAGAGATGGGCCATGTGGCTCCGAGGTCAAGGACGGGAAGCCCGTAGTCCATGTGCCCCTTCCCAAACGACTTCCAGAAGCACCATGCCGGGGAGCTAAGCCTTTCTGAAAACTCCAGGGCGGAAAGATTGAAAAGGAGCCAAGTTCTGGAGAAACCGACTTGGGCGTGACCTAAGATGACTCACTGGGCTGCGGAGCTCAAGAGCTGGCGCACTGCTTGCAAGTCATCCCTTCGCCCGAAAAGTTAAACAAGGGTAGGGCATATATCTCCCCTCCCTTGGAGGGCAGAGCAGCAGCGGGGCAAGCCGGGTGAACGTCAGCGGTGGTTCTGAGGAGTGCGCAGTTGTGGTTACTCGGTGCCTTGGAAAACAACAACACGACAAAAACAACAACCCAAGGGTCTCGGTTTTTTTTTTAAATCTTCAAAATAATCCCTTGCAAGATTGCCTGAGCCAAGAATTACGAGTGGATTTACCAGATTTCCCCCTCCCCCTGTAATAAATATAGTTGCATGCGCGATATAAATTCAGCGAATTGTGCGGCTTCCAACCACAATTCTGATTNGTATTCCAAGTGTGGCCTTACCAAGGCCTTATAAAGTGGTATTAACACTTCATGTGATCTTGATTCTATCCCTCTGTTGATGCAGCCTAGAACTGTGTTGGCTTTTTTGGCAGCTGCTGCTCACGGCTGGCTCCTATTTAAATGATAGAGGGTAAGCTGTTCTCCATCCTCCCTGTTGACAGCTATCTCGAGGCGAGACGGGCGGCATGTAAATTTAAATAATAAATCAAATCTGAAAGTTAGTTCTCGATAATCCTCTGGTGGGGCCACCTGGCTGGATGTGGAGCCTCCCCGTTTAAAATTTTTAAAAAAAAGTTACAGAGAGATCGGATGGCGGATGTCTCCTTAAGAGATGCTTACCTGACACAAACCCCCTGCAGCCATGTCTCGATGGACTTGAAGTGATATTTCATGTCTCCGTAAGAGCTGGAGACGAACCTGTAGGAATCGAAGACCTGGGCTCGGCCGTGCTTCCTCCTGGCCCCCAGACTGCGTTCTCCTTCCCCCAACCAGATTTCCACATGGACAATGTCGTGGGGTTGCCTCTTACCTGCAAAGAAGGGGGCAAAGTAACACCTGAGCAGGCCAGCGCTGATGAGGTTACCTAGTTTGGTAATGAAATGTCTGCAAGAAAGCTACCCAGGCTCAAAGATAATCAAGGACCCCCACACACTGACACACCTGGACAGGTAGGTATTTAGGCTGTTAGCAGATGCAGGGGTGATTGAGAAGAGGTTGGATGGGGCAAAGGGGTTTTTCTTAATTTATCTCACATTTTGTCTCCAGATCTTAGTTGAAAAACTCTTTGAAGGAGAGATCAGGATACAAATCTGGAGGAAGCCCCCAACTAAGTCCTGGTTTCTGTGAATCCATACCCCAACCTTCTCTCAAATCAAACCAGGTGTCTGTTTTCAGCTAGGCTTCACCAAATCACGCAGCAGACTCCTTGTCCCGACAAAAGCCCTTTTTATTACGCTAAGGTGAATTCCTCTCATTCACGTCCAGCAAAATCCCGGCAAACAGTCTTTCCAGGGTGTATTGACAATCACAGACCTTATCAGGCTTGGAGAGCTGCCAGGCCGATATCTTCCAAACGCAAATGCTGTACAAGAAAATAACTTGGCGAGGAGTCTCTGAGAGTCACAAACAAATCTTCACACTAATTAAGCGAAGTAATTGTCTCCTGAAAACTCCACTCCCCTTTCGTCCCTCTTTATTCCCCATGGAAGGGGCCATTCACCATCCACCTGTGCCTTTACACCCAAGTCAACCTCTGTTCCTTAGCTGTTCCTTTCTGCTGGCAGCTCTGCGCATGCACACATCGGGAACAGGCTCCAACTGTTCTTCTGCCCCAGTGATATCCGACTCCTAAGACAGCTGATAACTGTCAGATGGCCCTGGCCCCCTCTCTGCCTCTGACACAGAGCCCTCATCAGAGCTTCCCCAGACTCCAGGACTGGCCCATCTTCCTCCCAAACCTCCTCGCTGTCCGAGTCTGCTGCCAGCTCCACTGGCCGGCCACAACAGTGTCCTTGGGAGAATTCCTCTGAAAAGGAGACGCAGATGGGAGAACGGGAGGGCAGAGAAGGAAGTGAGTCCCACGGAAGACACTTACGTTGTGGATCAAAGTAAACTCCCGAGATGAAGATAAGATCGCCCGGCTTCAAATGGTCCTCGCTGGGTAGCGTCAGAGGAAGGGTGTCATACTGATAGGCTTGGTTGCCTGAGCCCATGTAGAAGCCAAAATCGTCTGCCAAATCTTGTACTGCTCTCCGGACGAACCCACAACAATCCAGGAAAAGGGGAGATTCGTATTCAGGACCTGGAACATGCAAAAATTAAAAGGGGAGCGGGGGAGGTCATCAGAAATTTGGACATTTGGTACCATCCCAAAGGTCAGACTATCCTTGGATTTGGGGGTGGCTGCAAGGACGAGGATTAAAAACACAGCCAGTCCTCGGCTTCTGACAATTTGTTTAGCGACTGTTCGACGTGAAAACGGCACTGATCAATGCTTCTCCTGCTTTAGACCCTCCCAGCATCCTCAGGTCACGTGATCAAAATCCGGGCGCTTGGCAATGCACCTGCGTAGGTGGATGGGGCATCCAACAGGATCATCCTTTGCAAACTCCCTAGCGGCTTCTGACATGCAAAGTCAATTGGGGGCAGGGGGAGATGGGTTTGCTTAAGGACCGAGGCTCATTCACTCAATCACCACGGTGATTCATTTAACAAACCCTGGCCAAGAAACGGCCGTAAAATTGATTCACTTTTCAATTGCTCCTTGCTCGGCTATGGACATTTTGGGCTCTGTGGTGGTGCTAAATTGAGGACCACCTGTATCAACTGTTCACGGTGGTTCATCTTCTTAGCTAAAGGGGGGGGGGGCGGAGATGAGAAATTTGCTCCCCCCACCATCCTCTAGTTCTGGGATGGCAAACCTTTGATACGTGTGCCAGAGCCGGCCCACAGAGCTCCCTCTTTCGGCACAAGCACCGTTGCCAGTTGGTCTTCGCAGGCGCTAGAGTGCCCGAAAACAGCCTGAAAACGACCCCCCCCGAAAATAGCCAAAAATGTTTTCAGGCAGTTTTCAAACCAATTTTTGGGCCGTTTTCAGATGGTTTTGGAGCTGTTTTCAGACCATTTTTAGGCCATTTTTAGGCTGGTTTTGGGCTGTTTTCAGGTGGTTTTTGGGCTGTTTTCAGGTGGTTTGTGGGGCCAAAAACAGTGTGAAAAATGGCCTGAAAATGACTCAAAAATGGTCTGAAAGTCTAAAAACGGCCTGAAAACAGCCTGAAAACGACCCAAAAAACATTTTCTGCCCATTTTCAGACCAATTTTTGTGCCATTTTCAGACCTTTTTTGGGCATTTTCAAGGCTGTTTTTAATTTTCAGGCAGTTTGTCGGGCCAAAAACGGCCTGAAAACAGCCCGAAAAATGGCCTGAAAACAGTCTAAAAATGGCCAAAAACAGGCATGTGCATTCTGGCCAGCTGGGACCGGCACTCCGGTGCGCACAAAGGCATGTGCATGCACACACGTTCTGGTATGGGCACTCAGTGCCGAAAAGGTTTTCTATCACTGCTCTAGGTTTTTTTAACCAACTGTCCCAAAGCTCATGTCTTAGAAAGTTTGGCGTTAATTTGGTGGACATCAGCTTTGGGGTGATTGATCAAAGAACAAAATCAAGGGAACGAGGAACTGCTTCTATTCATCCTCTAGCTAAGGAGAAAAATAGCAAGATACAGTCCTTGAGTTACGACCACAATGGAGCCCGGAGTTTACGTTGCTAAATGAAACATTGGTCAAGCGAGTTTTGCCCCGACTGTTCTTGCTTAATGTTTGTTAAGCGAATCTCCACATTGGTTAAGTTGGTCACCCAGCCGTTAAGCGAATCTGAGGTTTCCCCGTTGGACCGTCAGAAGGTCGCCAAAGCGGATCGTGTGGTCCTGAAATAGGAACCGCTTGCCGAGCGCCTGAATTTTTGTCCACCTGGCCGTGGGGATGCAGCAACGGTCGTAGGTATGAAAAAGGGTCATAAGTCTCTTTTTTTCTGGTGCTGTTGTTAACCGAATGGTCGCTAAATGAACAGTTGTAAGTCCAGGGCTACCTGCACCTTAGCAATGAAGACGGACGCATCTCCAATGGTGGAGATTGAGAGGCCCACCCAATTGTGCCCATCATCTTTTGCCTCTGGACTCCGGAATATGGTTCTTACTTCCAGGCTGGTGGTATTTCTTGGCATACGGCGTGCCAATGTAGCTCTGTGCCTGCTGGAGGAACTTCATGCGAAGTTGCCACCTATCATTGGGTTGCTGCAGCCTCTGAGTCAGTCTCTCTTTCCACCTGGCCCGTCGCCTCAATTCCTCCTACAGCCAAAGGGAAGGATGGAAAAAATAGAAACTGGCTTATTTTTTTTAATATAAATGTTATTTGTCCATTTTTTCTTTAAACATAAAGGACTGCTTAATAAACAGTGTATTGTCTGGGTCAATTTACTTATGTGTAACATCAACAAGAGAGTATTTATATACATTTGATAGATATTTTATGATTTTTACATACAATTGAAAGTGATGATACACAAATATAAAATGTTGGTGAACCTTTTTTTATATATACTACAGGAACTGGGTATGTCTAGTTTAATAGAAAGAAGGAGGGGGAATAGTAAGGAGTAGAATTGTAGAATGTATTGTTGTCAAAATAAAACATTCCTCTCTAGAAGCCCAAGGTCATTCTTTGTCTCCGCACCTCTGCACCTGACCGGAAGTGGATGGGTGGAAATGCCAGCGTGGCAGTGGAATATTAGACCATGGGATGGACTTGTGGGTGTTGGGGAGGGGGGCAAGATCTTGAACTTTCAACTGGGTGGGGGAACCCAGGAAGCTTTCAGATGCGGGGTTTTCCACAGATGTGCCAACATGTCTCTCTTAATAAATTGGAACTTTGAGGAAAGCTCTGCCTTGGACTCTGATTTAATACTGGATGATATGACAGCCGGTGGCAAAGGAACTTGCTTTTGAAATGTGGTCTCTTGTTGTAGCAACAAAGGAAATGAGGATGAGCGGGGAAGAAGAAAAAAAATGGCCCATATAAACCCATTCGACATGTTGGATAGATAATTAGGTGGGTCGATGTTGACTCTTAGCGGCCAGTATTAAATCA